TAAATATTTTGTTAGTTTGAAATAGACCTTTATGATTTTAAACTTTCATCATCATTTAAAGATACATGAGTTAAATTTAAGTTGTATAGACTTAGCTTATATTTTAAGTAAAGGTAGATTAGAACTTTATGACTTTAAATGTTTACCATCATTTAAAGATATATAGCAATTTAGAAATATGAGACTTAGCACAGTTTAATTTAAGTTGTATATAGAGTTAGATCAGTATAAAGTTAAATTACAGGTACAGAGACAAGCAGGACTAGATAACAGTAAAAGGGGGAACCAGAATGTAATATCTGATCCGTACATTGTAGCAAACAGACAGGAGATTTAAAAGGACAGAGTAGTTAAAGGGAGGATGCTGGAAAGGCACAGTATTTAGTAAACAAGCCATGAACAACAGAGCCAGTGAAAGAAGAAATTACAGACAAAAAATAAAATAAAAAGCAAAAAGATGTGGCAGAAATAAAAAATCTGGTAGACAGGTTTGCTGGCACAGGCCGCTGGAGCTGGGCTTGTACCACATGAATAAGTGTGTGTGTGTGTGTGTGTGTGTGTGTGTGTGTGTGTGTGTGTTACCAGGCCATTTTATTTAGAAGCTTAAAGGTGAGGAGGGATGAAGAAGTCTGGGTCATCTAATGTCCTCCATGGCAATTTCCCTGGCCTCCTCATGACTAAAATCATACCCACCCCCAAGGACCAAACTATATTACCTAGGCTAGTCATGAACTTGTGATCTTCCTGCCTTGATGTCCCTAGTGCTGGGATTACAGATGTGAGCCACTATGCCCAGCTTGTTTAACCATTTTGCAGTTTGTGTAGTTCATTAATGCTAAGTTACTCCTTGCAATCAATTTCCAGAATACAATTGTTTGTTAATGTTTTTGTTGTTGTTGTTATTGTTTGAGACAGGGTCTCAACTATGTCCTGGAACTCACTATGTAGATCAGGCTGGTCTTAAACTCATACAGATCCACCTGCCTCTGTCTCCTGGGTGCAGGAATTAAAGTCATCAGCTATGATGCCTGTTTTGCATTTGCTTTTTGAGTCTGGCTCTTAACATACCTTAGGCTGGTCCCAACTTGCTATGTGGCTAATAATGACTCTTACCTTTCAGACTGAAGTACTGGCCAGGCATTGGTGGCTCATGCCTTTAATCCCAGCACTCAAAAGGCAGAGGGAGGCGGATCTCTGTGAGTTCGAGGCCAGCCTGGTTTACAGAGCCAGTTCCAGGATAGCCTCCAAAGCAATACAGAGAAACCCTGTCTCGAAAAAACAAACAAATAAAAAGACTTAAGTACTGGAATTGTGGGTGTGTGATTGAACCTAGACAAAAAACTCTACCACTGACTGAATTGTATCCCCTACAACCTCGTTTGTGGTGGCTGGGTGATAGGCATCAGGGCTCCTGTGTGTTAGGCAAGTGCTCTGTGAGATAACCATGAAGTCCAACTCTTTCTACCTTTTGAAACTGAAACTACACACTAGACAACAAGTTCTTGTACCCACTCTAGCCTTTACATCCAACCTGCTTTGTCTCTCCAAATTTCAGTATTTTATACACCTTATGTATGTGTGATCAGGATTCATCATTTAAACAAATTAACCTTTATTTTTATTTTACCTGTATGGGTGTTTTGCCCATATGCATGCCCTTTGCATGTAGTGACTACAGAGGCCAGAAGAAGGTGTCATATCCCCTGGGACTGGAGTTACTGACAGTTATGAGCTGCCATGTAGGTGCTGAGAATCGAACCCCGGGTCCTCTGCAAGAACAGTCAGTTTTCTTAACAACTGAGCCATTCTCCAGCCCCAGATTTTATCTTTTTTTTGTGGCTGGATTATTTCATTTAGTATCACATCCCAAGGCTCAGTCATGTTGCAAATATTACAATCTCCCCTCTTGCCCATTTCTTAAGAGATGAAATCTTGAATCGCACAGGCTGCTCTCAAACTCTTGGGCTCAAGTATCCTTCTGCCTCAGCATCCTGAGCAGTTGGGACTATAGGCATGTCATTATAGCTACCTTGGAATGTCCTTTTTAAGGTTGAACAACACTGCACATTGTGTCTATCCCTTCATTTGTTGTTGGAAATGGAACTTGTCTTCCAGCTTTTATGAATAGTGCTGCTACAAATATGGAGGTACAAATAACTCAAATTCCTATTTTCATTTTTTGGGGGGTGTAGACCTAGACATTAAATTGCTGGATTACATGGTA